AGAGAGAGAGAGAGTGAGAGAGAGAAATAGTGTAGCCGTTTCTCTCACTCACACTCACTGTTTCAGCGCTCACTCACACGCACATGTCCGGAGAACAGGCTGCACATTATAATTATTCTAATCTAATGGCCGCTCACTCACGTCATGCACGGTCGTCACGGCAGCTGCCACATGCTTTACTCACTCATTCAGAGTCATAGTTTGACCTGCTCACTCATTCAGAGTCATAGAGAAACTATGCCCCCCCCCCCTCACACACACACCTGTAGACAGAGAGAGAGACAGAGAGAGAGAGAGAGAGAGAGAGAGAGAGAGAGAGAATGAGGGAGAGAGAGAGAAAGAGAGAGAGATGGAGAGAGAGAGAGACAGACAGAGAGAGTGAGAGAGAGCAGGAGGGAGGGAGAGACAGATGGAGAAAGACAGAGAGACAGATAGAGTTAGAGGGAGAGAGAGAGAGCAGGAGAGTGAGAGACAGAGAGAGATGGAGAGAGAGTGAGAAAAAGATAGATAGAGACAGAGAGAGAGAGAGAGTAAGAAAGAGAGAGCGAAAGGGAGGGAGAGGGAGACACACAGAGAGAGAGCAGGACAGAGAAAGAGAGAGAGAAAGAGAGAGAGAAAGAGAGAGAGAGAGAGACAGGAGGAGAGACAGACAGACAGAGAGTGAGGCAGAGACAGAGAAAGAGAGACGTAGCAAATAATATACTTGATTACTTGTTTCTGTTCAGACAGTGCACAAGTTAAAAGAAACAAGTTTGTCCCATACCCCTCCCCCGCACACTGGGCATAATTTCAGTCTACATAGTACTTAGTCTAAGAAACCCCCCCAAAAAACAAAACAAAAAAAACAAACAAAACAACTTAGACCCCCAAGGTCTGCATCATGTCTTCAATTTCATACATGTATTAAAAAATAAAATAAATAACTAAAAAAGGGATCAAATGGGCAGTTAGTTTGTTTTGTTTCGGTACAGTTTTACGGCGCTTGCAACTGCATAAGGTCCTGAGAGCGCCAAAGGGTGAACGTCAACAGAGAAGTCCAAACGCGGAATCAGGCTTTCTCTGCTCACCTCCCTAGCCTCAACAGCACAAAGTCAGCTTCAACTTCAACCGTCAAGGCACCCCGGAAATAGCAGTCCACAAGACAGCGACAAACATATAAAAGAAAAGAGGAAAAATGACGATAGTAAGGATAAGGAAAGAAAAAGCAGCAGTTCCCCTTATGCTGTTCGGCACAGTATGAGCATGACATTGATAAATCAGCCAATTTACAATTCTACTGCGAATAAGATCATGTTAATATCCAGGTTGATAAAGAACACAAATGAAAAGGCCGTATATAATCTGTCTTTATTTGCGGCGAGCGTAGCCCTGTTTGAAAACACCCCAAAACACCACCACATATGGTGCACAATGGGAAGCAAATCACAGGATCTCAAAGTCCACAAACCATACCAGGAGATGTACATCACAGTCTGTCTGTGTCTTCTGACATCATTGTCAGTCTGTGTCTTCTGACATCTGACATCATAGTCTGTCTGTGTCTTCTGATATCTGACATCATAGTCTGTCTGTGTCTTCTGACATCATAGTCTGTCTGTGCCTTTTGACATCATAGTCTGTCTGTGTCTTCTGACATCTGACATCATAGTCTGTCTGTGTCTTCTGACATCATAGTCTGTCTGTGTCTTCTGACATCATAGTCTGTCTGTGTCTTCTGACATCATAGTCTGTCTGTGTCTTCTGACATCATAGTCTGTCTGTGTCTGTGTCTTTTGACATCATAGTCCGTCTGTCTGTGTCATCTGACATCATAGTCTGTCTGTGTTGTGTCTTCTGATATCATAGTCTGTCTGTGTCTTCTGACATCATAGTCTGTCTGTGTCTTCTGACATCATAGTCTGTCTGTGTCCTCTGACACCACAGTCTGTCTTTGTCCTCTGACACCATAGCCTGTCTGTGTCCTCTGACACCACAGTCTGTCTGTGTCATCTGACATCATAGTCTGTCTGTGTCTTCTGACATCTGACATCATTGTCTGTGTCCTCTGACACCATAGTCGGTCTGTGTCTTCTGACATCATAATCTGTGTCCTCTGACACCATAGTCTGTCTGTGTCTATCCGCTACACATAGGCCTACTACCGCACTCACTTTGGGCAAAGTACACACCCAAAATCAGTGATTTTACCTACAAAGATGACACAATCATTACTAACTATATATATAAATATAAATTATTCACAAATATCACATATTGGCATATTTACATATCACACACAGATACACACACACACACATGCCCAAATACAACATGTATGTATACACATTCAACCCTTTTACAAGCGACATGGCCAGGTACAGTAACACACACATACACACACACACACACACACTCAAACACACACACACACACTCAAACACACACACACACATACACACCCACACATGCCCAAACAAAATATAACACACTCAACCCTTTCACAAGCGACATGACCACGCAGAGTGACACACACATACACACACACACACACACAGAATAACTATGGTCATTTTGTTCCACACTCATAACCTCTCTCTCCCTCCCTCCCCTCACACTCCCATAGTCTCCAACAACACCTCTGCTACCACCCTCTCTCTCTCGTCCTCATCCACCTCCTCCTCCTCCTCCCAGCCTAGTGTCTTCCACCAGGGCTGCTGCAGTCTCCTCATCATCAGCTTGTGTTGCTGTTTGGCTGCGGTTGCCACGGGCAACGATCGGCTCGAGTACATGTCTACGTCAGCGGCCGTGATGTCACCCAGGCTAGGGGCCACTGGCGGGACAGACAGACCGACAGAAAGCGACATATGAGTGATTAAACAAACCAGAGACATATGACTAAGCAAATAGGCAAACAAACAAATTAAGAGTGAACAAACAATTAAACAAATAATAAACAAACTAACAAATGATATAATATAAGTGAACTAACAAACAAACTAACAAGTGCCACATGAGTGAATTAACAAACAAACAAACAAACAAATGCGCGTCACATGAGTAGATTAACAAGCAAACAAACAAACAAACAGGTATCAGATCCATTATATGAGTGAAAAAACAAGCAAACGAACAAACATATAAACAAGTATCACAAGAGTGAAAAAACAAGCAAACGAACAAACAAAAATCACATGAGTAATAAACAAACAAAGGAACAAACAGTTTAAAAATGAAGGAACAAAGAAACAAACAAACAATTGAAAAAGGAGTGAACAAACGACCAAGAAGTACGTCTATATGTCTATGTGTGTGAGTATGTATGGGTGTGTCTGTCTGTGTGTTTGTCGGTCTGTCTGTCTGTCTGTCTGTGTGTCTGTGAGTCAGTCTGTGTGTCTGTGAGTCAGTCTGTCTGTCTGTGCATGCATCCACTCACAAGAGACTAGCTCCGTGTCTGTGTCTGTGTCAATGTGTGTATCTCTGTGTGCGTCTCTGTGTGTGTATGTCTGTGTGTCTGTCCGTGCATGCGTCCACTCACAAGAAACGAGCCCCGTGTCTGTCTGTCTGTCTGTCTGTCTATGTGTGTCTGTATGTGTGTCTGTGTGTCTGTGCATGCATCCACTCACAAGAAACGAGCTCCGTGTCTGTCTGTCTGTCTATGTGTCTGTATGTCTGTCTGTGTGTCTGTGCATGCAACCACTCACAAGAGACGAGCCCCGTGTCTGTCTGTCTGTATGTCTGTCTATGTGTGTCTGTATGTCTGTCTGTGTGTCTGTGCATGCATCCACTTACAAGAGACAAGCTCCGTGTCTGTGTCCAGCCGAGCCAACAGATTGTGACACTGGTACTCCAGCTTCCTGTAGCGTCGCACGTTGCCATAGTGACGGGCCAGCATCTCCTGCGCCCTCTGGTGGCGCTCGGCCACTTCCTCGGGGGTCTCCATGCGGCTCTGGGGGGGGGGAGCAAACCGTGACATTAGACGTCATGGGACGGACACACACATATGTCTTTCGTTTAGTTTTATAATAAAAAAAATAATAATAGATAGCATTTGTATAGTGCAAATCCCCGCTCAACAGCAAGCTCTATGCGCTTCACAATCTATACTATTACCCCAGCAGACATGAGAGCATTCTGAAACAAACTCATCTTCCTGGGAAGAATACAGTGCAAGCAGCCATTAAATGGGCGCTAAAACACTAACATACTGACAAGATCTTTCTCTGTCTATGGCCGGGTACCCATTTCCACCTGAATGAATTGAGGAAAATTCGTGTAAAGTGCCTTTCCCAAGGACACAACGTCGGGCCCGCGGCTCTAACCCCCGACCCCGCAACCTCATGATTACGAGTCCGGTAGCATAACCACCAGGCCATCGACGCCAGTTGTCTTTTTTAGTAAGGTTTTACAGCGCTCGCAACTGCATAAGGTCATATGACTGCCAAGGGGTGGATGTCAACAGAGAAGTCCAAACGGGGAATCAGACTTACTCTGCTCACCTCTCTAGCTTAACAGCACAAAGTCTGCTTCGACTATGAAGGCACTCTGGAAAAAGCGGGTCACAAGAGTGTGACAAACATGAAAAAGAAGTAGAGGAAAAATTTTGATAGTAAGGATTAGGAAAGAAAAAGCAGCAGTTCCCTGTTGCAGTTCAGGCACAGTTATGAGCATGACATTGATGAATAAGCCCATTTACAATTTAGAATTCTACTGTGCATAAGAACATATTAATATCCCCCCTTTGGGAATGGCCTAAAGACAATTCAGTCAGTAGCACCACCCCCGGGGGTTTACAAGAGAGTAACAAACACAAAAAAGAAGGAGGGGAGATAAAGACGAGAGATGTTTGACAGGAAAGAAGGAGCAAACCACACCAGAACACCCACCAACCAAAACACACGTCTTTTGATACAACACGGGACTACACACACACAAACACACACACGCGTCTTTTGACACAAAAAGGGACATACACACACACACATCTTTTTAAACAACATGGGACTACACTCCCTAAAACTCTTACTATAACTAAACTAAGTTTTAGAATCATCACTTCTACTTTTATCAATGTCAATACAATGTGTGTGTGTATTTGTGAGCGTGTGTGTGTGTGTGAGTGTGTGTGTGTGTGTGCGTGTGTGAGTGTGTACCGGGTTCTGCTCCCTCCACTGTTTTATTCGTCCAGACAGCTCTATCTTTCGTTCCTCAGTGAGTCCGTCTGGCTTGAAGTGTCGTGGAAACTCCTGTCGTGCCTGCTCCACACGCTCCAACCAACGACGAACCTGTACACAAACACAAACAACAAATGTAGCCACAACAACAACAACAGTCAATGATACACCTGTACATAAACACAGTCATCAAATAAAATACAGCAACAACAACAGTCAATGATGCACCTGTACATAAACACAGTCAACAAATAAAATACAGCAACAACAACAGCAACAAAAACAACAGCAACAACAACAACAGTAACAACAATAGTCAACCAACGACATACTTGTAGATGCACACAAACAACAAATGTAGCAACAACAGCAACAACAACAACAGTCAATGATACACCTGTACACAAACACAGTCAACAAATAAAATACAGCAACAACAACAGCAACAACAACAATAGTCAACCAATGACATACTTGTAGATGCACACAAACAACAAATGTAGCAACAACAACAATAACAACAGCAACAACAACAACAGCAACAACAATAATAGTCAACCAACGATACACCTGTAGACATACACAAGCAACACATGTAGCAACAACAACACTGCCACCGCAACCACCACCACCACCACCACAACAACAAAAAAACAGTAGCAACAACAACAGCAACAACACTACCACCACAACAAAAACAACAATAACAACAACAACAACTCCAGCAACAACAAGCTACCTCCTTCAACCCCCCCACCCCATCCTGCCCCCTCCTCTCAAAGTCACAGACACACACAGACACAAATACACACATACACACACAGCCATATACATACATACACATAGAAACACACACAGAGACAGACCTACAAATACACACAAAGCCACAAATACACACAGCCACATACACACACATAGACACAAATAGCTAAACACACATATATACACACATAGACACACACAGTGTCAAACGCAGTCACACACACAGTCTCTCACACACACACAAACACACACTCACTCACACACAAACACACACACACAAACACCAACATCCACTTACCCCTCTCTGTATGATAATGGCGGCCTTGACCTGCCGTTTGACCTTTTGTCTCTCACTGACCCTTGACCTCTCTCTGTGACCTCTCCAAAGCGTCTGTATCCTCAAGGCCGCCACTGACTTTTCTTTCCTCAGGTACTCCTCTATACCGGCTGGGGAACGGACACAGTGTGTGTGAGTGTGTGTGTGAGTGTGTGAGTGTGTATGTGTGTGTGTGTATGTGTGTGTGTGTGTCTTCTATGCCGGCTGGGGAATGGACATAGTGTGTATGAGTGTGTGAGTGAGTGAGTGTGTATGTGTGTGGGAGGGGTGTCTTCTATACTGGCTGTGTGTGAGTCTGTGTGTGTGTGAGAGTCTGTGAGAGAGTATGTGTGTGAGTGTGAGTCTGTGTGAGTGTGTGCACGTGCGTGTGTGTGAGAGTGTGTGATAAGAGAGATAAGGACGACAGATACAGTAGTCTTTGCCTAAGAATAACATCCCATCGCTTACGATCCCAGTTTACATAAGATCCTGCAGAATTTTTCTTAAACAAAAGTCACTCCTAAGATTTTTGCTCTAAATGGTTAAATTTGACTAAGATCCTGCATTTTAGACCACAATTTATAGATCAAAAACGCGGGTGGCGCAAGTGATCAACCAAACATCGAAAAATATTGAAATCATTGCACCGTTCGTATCATCACAAATCATTCACCCTCCTGAAAGCTACCACAGCTCCATTGTCAATCTCGATTAAACAATGCAATGTTTGCCCCAGACGGGATCACTACGAGGCGTGAACTCACTTTTTTTCTTCACATAAGCGTTTTATGGCACTTGCAGTACAATTATGGTCATATAAGTGCCGAAGACTAGAGGTGTTACAAGGGAGTAACAAACACGAAAAAGTAGGACGGGAGATAAAGACGATAGATGTTTGATAGGAAAGAAGGAGCAATCCACACCAGAGCACCCGCCAACTACCCACATGTGAACTCGCCGACGCATTCGTTTTCCCCAAGCATCTCACTCGCATCTGAGCTTTCCACCTGTACTTACATCACAAGCTGGGTGGGTAGGGCTTACAACAAATCCGCATCTAGACGGTATCATATCAAACTGAAATCTTCCATCCTTTGTTTTCCTGACCGAGCTTAAATTGCTGCAGTCACACAACACAATGGCGCGTTACGACAAAAAGCTGGGAAAACTCGGTCAGAGATGGAAAGCTGTAAATTTTGGATGGTTAAAGAAGAGGAGCAATGGGACTGGCATATATGTTGAGACTTACGATGGGATATGTGCAAATTGCACGCCTCATGCCACTGTGATTGGTCATCATCAAGGTTGACCACTCTGCTCGTCATAAGTCATAGACCCACCCAAGGGTCACGCGAGTTCATTTAACCCTTCCAGCCCCAGCCATTTTTGTGCACTCCCTAACCCCAGTCCCAGCCAATAGAGCAGCATTTCAGAAAAAGAGGCATGCATTTAAAAAAAAGTGATGTAGTATCTTTGTAATGAGGTCTAAATAATAACATATATAACAATGTTTAAAGGTAAGTGAACAAATATTATGAAAATTAAAGTTTAATTAGGTCGCACATTCAGTACCCCCCCCCCTCCCCCCCCCCGAAACTGAGAATATACGCTCTTGGGACGGTGGGAGGTACAAGCACTGCTGAAAATATACGCGCATGGGGCTGGAAGGGTTAAAAGTAAGTGGAGACTATCTCAGCGATTGTGGGCCTGACCAGAAGTCACCGGGATTCTCCCCTAGGAGCGCTGGCTAAGGTCCCATTCGCCCAAGATCCCGCGTTTTCCTTGCTCCCAAGCACGGGGATCTTAGGTGGAGACTACTGTATTTGATAGGAAAGAAGGAGCAAACCACAGCACTACTGTACTTGATAGGAAAGAAGGAGAGTTAAGTTTTAGTAGAGGGTTTTACAGCGCTCGCAACTGCGTAAGGTCATATGAGCGCCAGAAGTTTAGAGGTGTTACAAGAGAGTAACAAACATAAAAAAGAAGAAGGGGAGATAAGGACGATAGATGTTTGATAGGAAAGAAGAAGCAAACCACACCAGAGCACCCGCCAACCACCAACAAAGAGGGAGAAAAACCACAGTACCACTGTATTTGAAAGGAAAGAAAGAGAAAACCACAGCAGAGCAGCCGTGGACCAGCCACACACACTGACAACGACACACGTGTGGACGGACTCACAAGCGGGCAGAACCTCCAGAGCGTGTAATCTTTTCTCGTCAAACTGCCTGATGAGCTGTTGTCGGCGGCGCTTCATCTGGTGGTGCAGCTCTGTCTGGTACTGGGTCTGGAGCTTCACTTGTTCCTGCCGGCTCTTCTTGAGTCTGTGGGAGGGAGGGTGGGAGTGAGTGAGGGAGGGAAGGAGGGAGTGAGTGAGAGAGTGAGGGAGAGAGGGAGTGAGGGAGGGAGGGAGGGAAGGAGGGAGTGAGTGAGTGAGTGAGTGAGTGAGTGAGTGAGTGAGTGAGTGAGTGAGTGAGTGAATGGAGAGTGAATGGATGACTGATAAGATAAGAAAACAATTTAATGATATTGACAACAACAGCAACCACCAACAACAAAACCACCACCACTTCCCCCACCACCACCAACAGCAACAGCCACCACTCACCTGTAAGACTTATGGAACTTGGCAAAAGCTCGGTTAGCCTGTACCAGTCTCCGTCGGGTCCGGAAACCTTTCCACACAGCCTGGATGTACCGAGCACACTCATCCCGCCGCTGTGCCCGGAAATAGGTCATTATAAGTCACAATAGGTCATAATGGATTATCATAAAATAAATGACAATAGGTCATAATAAATTATTATTAAATAAATCACAATAGGTTATAATAGATTATTATTAAATAAATCACAATTGGTCATAATAAATTATTATTAAATAAATCACAATAGGTTATAATAGATTATTATAACAGGTCACATTAAAACAGATTCTAATAGGACACAATAGAGCACTAAACGTCAGAATAGGTAACAATAGACCACACAGGTCAACATACATTGTAATAAATGACGACTACAACACTATCAGTACAAAAAACCCATCACTACCTGTATGTAAAACCCATCACTACCAGTATGAAAAATCCTCATTTTTAAAAAAATAGTAGAGGGTTTCGCGGCGCTCGCAACTGCATAAGGTCATATGAGCGCCAAGGGGTGGGTGTCAACAGAGAAGCCTTTACAGGGAATCAGACTTACTCTGCTCATCTCTCTAGCTTCAACAGCACAAGGTCTGCTTCAACTATCAAGGCACCCCGGAAATAGCAGGTCACAAGAGTGACAAACATACAAAAGAAGTAGAGGAAAATGACAATAGTAAGGATTAGGAAAGAAAAAGCAGCAGTTCCCTGTTGTAGATCAGGTACAGTTTTGAGCAGGACATGAATCAGCCCATTTACAATTCTACTGTGCTTGAACGAGAAATGTTCCCCCTTTGGGAATGGCCTAAAGACGATAGAGTCAGTGGCACTGCCCCGGGGGGAGAAACCCTCACTACTGTACTACCTGTATGTAAATCCCTCACTACCTGTAAGTGAAACCCATCACTATCTGTATGTAAAACCCATCACTATCTCTACGTAAAACTCATCACTATCTCTACGTAAAATCCTTCACTACCTGTATGTAAAACCCATCACTATCTCTACGTAAAACTCATCACTATCTCTACATAAAATCCTTCACTACCTGTATGTAAAACCCATCACTATCTCTACGTGAAATCCTTCACTACCAGTATGTAAAACCCATCACTATCTCTACGTGAAATCCTTCACTACCTGTATGTAAAACCCATCATTATCTCTACGTGAAATCCTTCACTACCTGTATGTAAAACCCATCATTATCTCTACATAAAATCCTTCACTACCAGTATGTAAAACGCATCATTATCTCTACATAAAATCCTTCACTACCAGTATGTAAAACGCATCATTATCTCTACGTGAAATCCTTCACTACCTGTATGTAAAACCCATCACTATCTCTACGTGAAATCCTTCACTACCTGTATGTAAAACCCATCACTATCTCTACGTGAAATCCTTCACTACCTGTATGTAAAACCCATCATTATCTCTACGTGAAATCCTTCACTACCAGTATGTAAAACGCATCATTATCTCTACATAAAATCCTTCACTACCAGTATGTAAAACGCATCATTATCTCTACATAAAATCCTTCACTACCAGTATGTAAAACGCATCATTATCTCTACGTAAAACCCATCACTATCTCTACGTAAAACCCATCACTTACCTGAGCCTTTGCCTTGATCGCCGAGCCCGACTCCAGAAGGACGGCCATGTGACGTAGGTCCCGGTCAAAGCCACGACCCTCCCAGCGACGGAGCAGGGGACGTAACCCCCTGGAGAACAAACAACACACACGGAGGGAATTCTTGTATGGTTTGTTTGTTTGTTTGTTTGTTTGTTTGTTTCAGTAAAGGGAAGCACATCCACACAATAATGGTCATTTAGTGCTGGGAGAAAAAGAAGAAAAGACAGAAACAACAGAGGGAAAGTAAAGAAGTAGGACCTACGTATGGAACAAACAACAACACATACAGAAGGAAATACCGTATTTAACAAACAACAACACATACAGAAGGAAATATTGTATTGAACAAACAACAACACATAAATAATATGGAGGGAAACATTGAATGGAACAAACAACAACACATACAGAAGGAAATACTGTATTGAACAAACAACAACACATACAGAAGGAAATATTGTATTGAACAAACAAACAACACATACAGAAGGAAATATTGTATTGAACAAACAACAACACATACAGAAGGAAATATTGTATTGAACAAACAACAACACATACAGAGGGAAATATTGTATTGAACAAACAACAACACATACAGAGGGAAATATTGTATTGAACAAACAACAACACATACAGAGGGAAATATTGTATTGAACAAACAACAACACATACAGAGGGAAATATTGTATTGAACAAACAACAACACATACAGAAATACTGTACGGAACCATTAGACCACAGGAGCTGGCTGGCAGGTATGTATGTATAAGAGGACATGTCCTAGATGACCTACACAGTAGACCACAGACTCAGGCCACAACACAATGGTACTATTCAATCTATGTACTTAATACACAGACCCAGACCCACAACAAAGCAATACAGCGGAACCTATACGTACAAAAACCCTGACCAACAACAGAACGGTACCTATATGTACTTTATACAAAAACTCTGACCCAAAATACAGCCTAATGATAGACAGACAGACAGACAGGCAGACCAGCAGACAGACAGACAGACAGACCAACAGACAGACAGACAGACCAAAAAAAACACAGTCAGACATACATACAGACATACATACATACATACATACAGACAAACAGACAGACAGACTGACAGACATACATACACACAGAGAGACTGACAGACATGATACAGACAGACAGACGAACAGACGTACATGATACACACAGACAGACAGACTCACCTGTAGCGTAGACACAACAGTTCCACCAGAGACTTGTGATGGTCGCAGAAACGTAGGAGGCACCGACACGCACCGCTGGTGGTCAGAACCAAGAAGAGAGTGAGGGTGAGTGGGGGAGCGGGGGAGTGAGGGAATGGTGTGTGGGGGAGTGGGTGATTGGGTGAGTAGGAGAGTGAAGAGGTAGGTGAGGTAGCGCAGACACAAAAGTTCCACCAGAGACTTGTGATGGTCACAGAAACGTAGGAGGCATCGACAAGCACTGCTGGTGGTCACAGGGGGAGAGAGATGAAATGGGTGAGTGGGGGAGTGGGTGATTGGGTGAGTGGGAGAGTGAAGAGGTAGGTGAGGTAGCGAAGACGTTAAAGTTCCACCAGAGACTTGTGATGGTCGCAGAAACGTAGGAGGCACCGACACGCACCGCTGGTGGTGAGAGTGAAGAAGAGGATGAGGGTGAGTGGGGGAGTGAGGGGATGGGGTGGGGTGAGTGGGATGGGGGAGTGGATGAGTGGGGGAGTGAGGGAATGCGGTGGGAGCAGTGGGTGAGTGGGAGAGTTGGGGAGTGGGATGGGGGAGGGGGAGAAAGAAGAA